AGAGAGAAAGGAAAACTGACTCTTGCTTTTTGGTTAAAGTTAAAACCAACAACTTTCTATCAGTTTAAGCCAGCTCAACAGATAGGTCACCAGTTACTAATTCTCAATTAGAAGTCGAGGGAATTTGGGGCCTGAGGAAGTACCAGGCTGCTGCATAGGAGGAAGCAATATGGGAGGCAAGAAGGAGCAGTTCATAAGAAAGGGAACCCAATGGACCCATAACAAAGTGGTCTGGGATCTACTTGATAGGAAAACATCTTTTCTGAGTGAGTCTCTGTGGCAAGAGAGATGATCAAGTTCTGGAGAACTGGGTGCCTCCATTTGGATGCCTTCATTTGGAGCCTCCATGGGAGCCTCTTGTGTCAAACAAGATACTTAAGTAAGGAGGAAAGCTTTGAAGCAGCATTTACTCAGGAGAAGGACCAGCTCCCTAGAAAAAAGATCAAGCTGATACTCTGAGGAGTGACACAGTTCAGAAAACTAGTCTCAATGAACCATTACTCAAAAGCGTTGTAACTGCTAAAACTTTGGATAACRCAAACATATGGAAGACCCATAAGTCTTTCTATTTATGTAGGAGTGGAGATTGCTCGTGATTCTAGGATCATTTTAGTCAAGAAAAGAGGCAAAGGCCTTTGACATTTGCCTGAGACAAAGTTCCAGAAATAGATTATGAGTCTGTGCTAGAGGCACACAATTTGCATATGCAATATGCTGCAAATATATACAGGGTTCCTCTTGTAAACATATGATAGAAAGTGAAATTTACCCCAGATAAACTCATAGTGGAAGCTAATCTAATGAACTGACATTGTACTAATAACCACTAAAGATGATAAAATAACCCAGGTAGAGCAAGAATACCTTTTCCCACTCTGAGGAAATATTGACATGGGGAAATTTTAAGAAAAAAAAAATCTAATACAATAGAAATAATTGTATTTAAAGGGATTTTCTTGTTATTTGAGAAGTTTTTGACCCAGAAAAGCAGCCATTAAATGGGGAAAGCTAGAAGAATGCATCTTTTCTCTTCACTAAGTAAAAAATTCAAAATAGATTCATTTTAAGTTTTAAATGATTTGACAATGCTGAATTATATTTTATCTAATTTGCATTAAAAATGTAGGTCCGAAAAAGAATGTTCATATATATTGGAGAGC